GACTTGACTCAAATGCATCATAACCGTCTTAAGTTTAGTCCCGACAACTTGGGATCCTGAGATTGTGCTCACCCTCCTCGGGGTAATAGCGGGGTGCGGTACATTTTGGTGCAAAAGGGTAGAGTAAAAAAAGAAAAGAAACGAAAAGAAAAGGGGAGGGGAAGGGGTTCCCGGCCCCGGGGGGGTGATTTGTGTGGGTAATTTTTCGGGGGGGGGGTATTTTTGGGGGAATATTTATTTGGGAAACATGTGGGGGGGTATTTTTTTTAAGCCGCTTTGCGTTGTGCTGGGGGTAGTTATTTTATGGGTTTTGGGGAAAAGTTCTGGGGAAGGGGCGGGGGGGGGGGGGGGTGGAATGCTGATAGGTGGTTGGCCGGTGTTGATGGATGAATGGAGAGGTTATGTGGGTGCATTAAGTCCTACAAGGAGTTGTGTACAGATGTTGGGTAAAAGCAGGTGGGCGGGATTGTACCGGACCATGTTGGGCTGGGTCAGCTCTATCTTCGATTATGGTTTGATAGCTAAGCTTAGGCGTGCGCTACTATCCGCATTACCAGTAATCTTTTGCATCTCAAAGATAAGGGAAAGGGTCGCAAACGTATCCCCTCCAAAACCTCTAACTCTTCCGGAGCAGGAATTCAATTGCACGGACCACTCCCAGGAAACACCCCAAGAGGCCTCTAGAGAAAACAAAATTAAGCTAAAAGCGAAGGAAATAATTTCTAGGAAGTAAATTAGTCATTGGTATCGGGATATCCGACAGTCCATTATACTCGCAATTGCCAGAATGGTACATTAATGTAACAATATCAACTCTCATCATTGGGTTATAGCAGCTCTAGCCCAAGCACCATCCCATGACGGAAGAGCAATCGGCTGTGACAGACGACAGTAGCTGAGTATACCTGCCCCCAACAGATATCCAGGCTTATAGAGGTTCCATCGGACCTTACGATAACCAGACCGGTCCTCGATACCGAGATAAAAACACGAGAACAGGAATATTCACTTTGGATGGGTGGATGGATAGGGGGACCGCGCTCAGCTAGTAGTGATATCCACCATCCATCTTACACCAGTACCGTACACCTACTATACCAGACCCCTACCACCATTGCATTTACGATACCTGTCTGTTCACCCGCCTCCATTTTGCTGACTCGGATATTTTACCTTTGTTACTCTCCGGGCACTTGTGCAGATAGTGCGCGTCGGTAATGTTCACGGTGGTGTCGTGGGACAAAATGGTAGTGGACGAAGATCTGATGGGACAGAAAGGAACAAGGAGTGGGACGCCCGGTTACCGTCAATCGTACTCTACATCGCTTCGTGAGAGAGTGTCGGACTAGGAATGAATTCGTGCCGTACCGGGAGAGCCGTGCATGGGGGTTTTGTTGTAAAAATAAAGCCCTGGATTGAATTGTACTTGTGCCGTACTGAGCTCATGTTAAGTGCTGTGATACTGGATTATTCTTCATGTGTGTGTTGGGGGTGGCGTTGGAAGTACGGTACTCAAGATCAGGCAGTCCAATCCCGGAGTGGGGGTCCGTTTCCGCCTTCTCATTCATTTGTTTATTGACTTTCTCCATTCATTCCTTTTTTTTTTTACCGCAAGGCTGACGTACAGGTAGATCTGGAGAATCCATGCGGTATTAGGAACTTCACTTTGCACCAGAATTGAGACAAGGAGCTTCTAGACGTTGCATGCACCGTACTGGAGACGCCTGTAACGTGCTGCATCACCTATGTATAATATGACATGTGCCGGTAAAACACGCTAGGTTACCATGAGTGTGAAGCCGCCTGGGACATAGAACTAGTTATCATTTTCTAGAGTCGGGATCCCACACAAATCCATCATAGCAGAAGTGTGGAGTATAAGCCAAGCAGGAGGAATAAAACGGAGGAACATAAGCTATCCGTGAAAATCGAACTCTGCAAGTTTCCGCAGGCTAAAGCAGAGTCAGCTTTGTTGAGCCTCCATCCCTAGGATCCCGCCTTCCTCCCCTTCCTCAAAGGAGAAAGAAGAAAGAATTAAGCTTAGTCCTGCTTTTTGTGGTTGTCACCCCTCCCCCTTTGTGATTGATGTGCCGGGTGCTGTGTTGTGGGGGATTCTTTAACCCCATACCGTTCGGGCAACTGGTTGTGTTGTAACCTTTTTCATTCATTGTTACAGCAGTGAAATGGCAGCATGGAGATTTGTGGATGGATCGGGGAAGGGGAAAGAAGGAAGCTTTGTGTAAGTAAACTTGAGCTGTTTTATTTGTTTTATTTCACCTATGAGATCGGTGGTTGCCCCTATTTCCTTTTTTTTTTTTTTTTTTCTTTTCCATTTTCCGCACCCTTTTTTAGCTCAGCGCGAGACAGAAGGCGGGAGGGGGAGGAACGTTTCTCCGGGAGATATATGTCACGAGCAGACACACTTTCGAGATTCACGAGAATTAATTTCGCGAAAGGATCCTTGGAGGGATGATTGAGCTTATCTTCTCGAGAAAACATTTCAAATACCATGGAAAACAGGGGGGTACTGTACTGTACTAGTACAGTACCTTTATAATACCATTCTTGGCAAAAACATACCATTGCAAGGTTTCACATTGCAACGATCAACAAAATATTCACTCTAGCACAGAGTTCCCCAGTCTTTTTACCCCTCAAACAATCCAAAAATATTGTAAAAAATCTTATAAAAAAGCCAGAACTACTTGAGACCTGCTAATATTTTTTTATATTTTTTCTAGCAATCTTCTTAGGATTCTTGGCCCAAAAAATCACCAAGAACATACTACTCTTAAGCGAGGTCAGAGCAATGTGGTTCTGTGCGAAGGTTTCACTTTTTTGATGGTATATTTCTCAGTCAACGGTATCCGGAAGGTTTTTTCGCCAAGAGCATGGTATTGAAAAGGTTCACTCGCTAATACCGGTACTTGCACAAGTGAAACACCATAATAAAGTACGAGTACAGTACTGTACTGTACCCGTGCACATCGCTCTGGCATAGACCAGTGGCTAATCACAAGGATAATACCGGTACAAGTAGTATGATAGAAGACAGATAAGCGACCACCGGGTTTTTGCCCTCCGATCAAAGTGAATGAGCAGGTGCAGAAAAAGCGCCCCCAAAAGTTCCCAGAGACCAAAATGTGCACAATGAATCCCATCAGATTTGAACAGTGAAACGAACGGATGAGACGAGGCCGCGTCCGGAAAGAGTCTTCCTTAACAGCCACAACAACATGCGATGTTCTATTTCAATTTCGGGACCAAGTATGATAAAGGATAAATTGCTGTGGGAAAGAACAGGTGCTGATAAACTAGGGTTAGATGTGCGAGTTGGAAGTGGAGAAAGGTTAACTTACTTTTGACGGAATGTAAAAAGCAGAGCACCTCGGGAAAAAGTAAAAATACAAGTGAAAGAGCTGGATAGCGACAGGAAGAACAGGGCATGACGGGGTCCCGTCACAATCACATCTTACTCCATTCTCGCCTTTCTAGTCTTGGTAGTAGGGGATTGTGTGACTAGAGTGGTAGCTCTCTCCCTCTCCACTGAACTCTACCAATACGAGTACGGGCGCTGTGCAGCACGGCGAAGCTCCTGTGCTGCGTTGACCCTTCAATCCACGTGTAGGAATTACCCATGTTGGAAGCTGAGAAAGTTTGTGAACGCGCCGTGGTTTTGGTATGATAGGGTCTCTTCGAAAGTTTAGACGACATTTTGGATTCACGGGGCGAACCAACTTCCGGAGTTCTTGACCGAGTAAGCCGGGGCTTTGAATATAGGGTGTTTTTCTCCCTCTTTCTTTTCATATTGTCTCTGCCATGTGGTGATTCTGTTATCTTTTTTTAAACCCTCCCCCCTGTGACACCAGTACAGTACCCAGGCTATGAATGCTTCCCGTGAAGAAGCATGGTTGATTAGTCTTGGGTGGACATAGCAGGAAAGATGTACAAGTACCGTGCTGTACTCTTACTTGCACAAAACCCGAAAACAGGGGTCCTGATGCGCTTAGTTACAAGTAGTTAGCTTTTACTCTTATCTGCCACGGGTACCGGTACTTGTACGGGTACAGCACCTCCAGGGTAGGGGAGATGGGGGTTTCTCGTAGGAAGATATGATTGGATCCAGCACCATCTCAAGGCACGAATTGATCCTGACGGCACATCAATGGGTTCCAAGGTGTCTTTTTATCGGTATCAATTGACAAGACCCCCATCCCCTGTAAGTTGTAAGCCACAAATGAAGAGAGAAGTAAATGGAGAAGTGGTGCAGGTACCGGGCAAAGGTAGCTAGAGTCTTCTCAGAGGCCCTGCTCTCGCACAGGTGCCGCAACCATGGTACCATATCATACCAACACCCAACATACCATAAGGCACGCATTTAACTGTACTCTACATGTGCTCCCCCACCCAATTCGAAACGGTGGCAATTGATACCGCCAAGTCACCCACTCCCAGGCAGACAGCCTGTCACGTATACCAGAAAATCAGCTGGAGTACTGGTATTCTTCTTCCCGAGATTTCTGCATTGTTTTCCCTTTCTCTACCCCCACTTAACTCCCTTAGGTCAAGTAAATAATAATACCATGTTCTACTCGTGTATCTCCCTACCGTTTTCATCCATCCCGCCATCCTTCCCTCCACTTAACTCACAAAGAGGGAACGCATCCTTAGTAAAGGAAAATAGGAAGAAAAAAGGCCACCTACAGTGTTTGGCCTTGGATTCCTCCCTCCCCACCACCTCGGTTTGCTTTGACGAAAAATGATTGAAAAAAATTAAAAAAAAAATTTGGATTGAACCTCTTAGGCCCTCCTCAAACTGTCTGCTTACCCCCTCAGAACAACCTGCTCATCATACCTTGGCCTACCTTTCAGCACCCCCCACCGCACACGCAGAGCTGCTTTTACCTCACCTCATTGTAACTACAAATCTACTAGCCCCCCACTGCCAATTCGCCCAGCGTGAGAGCCCACTATTCAGCAAACAAACGAACGAATACCCAATGGACGGTACCCACGCTCAAGCAACCGCCAGCTCCTCCGCCATGCCGGCAACACCTCTCCCTTCGCCTTTCGTTGATCCAATAACCCCCCTAGGGTCTACGCCCTATAGTTCTAGACCTGGATCATTGCCGGGGTCTACTTCTGGCTTCTCCGCCCCGGGGTTGAATGTTCCGCAGAGGTACTTTCATTCCAGAAGAGTGAGGCCCGGAGAAGCGCAACAGCCTTGGAAGGGCAAGAAGGATCCCAAGGAAAAGTGGGTCACTATAATCCCTTGCATCGGTTTAGCTGTCGGGCTTGCAATCGCGGGGTTTTTCGTCTGGCACGGAGTAAGCAGCGTTGTCAATCACAAGTATTGCCCTGTGCTCATTGAGGATTGGAGCAATGGGTTTGACGAGAAAATTTGGACGAAGGAAGTTGAATGCGGTGGATTCGGGTATACCCCAACCGCAAACCCCACATCTCCGGAGATCAACTGCTAACGTACCAAAAAAAAAAAAAAAAAAGAAACGGACAATTCGATTACACTACCAACAGCGAGGAAAACTCCTACGTCAAGGGTGGCCATCTACACATTCGCCCAACCCTCCAGGATGAGAAATTGATCACAACGGACAACGTCATGAACCTCACAGAAATGGGGATTTGCACCTCTCCCCTTCTGAAGAACTGCGTCTCTGGAACAAATAGTACTAACGGCACTATCATTAACCCCGTGAAATCCGCACGCATCAACTCGCGCAAAGGCGCCAAGATAAAGTATGGTCGAGTGGAAGTCAAGGCACGCTTCCCTGAGGGTAAATGGCTCTGGCCGGCAATCTGGATGTTGCCAGTGGAAGAAAAGTATGGGCCCTGGCCCGCCTCCGGGGAGATGGACATCGCGGAGAGTAGGGGAAATGATTGGAAATACGCTCAGGGCGGAAACGACATTATCAGTTCCACGCTGCATTGGGGCCCCGACCCTGCGAACGATGCCTGGTGGAGGACGAATGTTAAGCATAGGGCTTCGCACACTAGCTACTCCTCCTCTTTCCATACTTTTGGGATTGAGTGGAGCGAGAAGTACATCTTTACGTATGTCGACTCCCGGCTTTTACAGGTCCTCTACACGAACTTTCAAACGAGGCTCTGGGATCGTGGGAACTTTCCGCTGGCGAGTGAGAATGGCACGAGATATATAGACCCCTGGTCACAGACCGGGCGCGAGAACACTCCATTCGATCAGGAGTTCTACCTCATCATCAGCCTCGGGGTCGGGGCTACTAGCGGTTGGTTCGAAAACGGAAAGGACAAGAAACCCTGGGTTGACGGGAGCCCCACCGCGGTAAAGGACTTCTGGGACGCTAGAGACGAGTGGAAAAAGACATGGAAGAACGACGGAGAAATGGTGATTGAGAGCGTGAAAATGTGGCAGCAATGTGATTGAGTTTTTTCGGGGGGGTTTTTTTTTTTTTCATTTTTCTCGATGTTTCCCCTTTTCTATCAAATCTTTTTTTTTCCCATCTTCTCAAGAGGCATACTTCGGGAGTTTTATTTAGGGCTACTTTTTCCTTTCTTTTTAATTTCACTTGTTCGCGCAACGGAACGGGAGGCAACCCGCCCGTTGGTCTTTTTTCCCTTTACCCCTGCGTATACGATTTTTTGCTTTTTCCCTTCATCATGGTTAGCTATTTAGTTACCATTTTGTAATCAGAAGCGATAAATGATAATAGATGGCTCTCTCTTTCACTTTCACATTTACCCCCCCTCTCCTCTCTCTTTCATTCATCCATCCAGCCCGGACAACCAAAACCGTTATCTTTCTCTCGACCAAGCCCAACACTCAAAAGTAAACTACCACCCGCCTGCCGCCGCCACGGTGAACCCAACGGACGGACCACCCATTCACCCACCAATCACGCCAGTCCATGACAAAAACCTACACCCGCCCGCAAGCCACAATGGCAAAATCCATCCACCAATCATGGGAGAATCAAAAGAAAGGAAAAAAAGGATTCATTAGGGTTATCACACGGTACGGTATCGTCCCGGCACTCAGCAGTGCACAACACGTTTTCACCGATCATATGTGGGAGTGAACGAGGGTGTTGAAGAGCGGTGAAAGTGAAAACGAGAATGAAAATGGTGTGAAAAAGTGAAAAAGAAGTGAGGCTCTGCGGTACGGTAGATGGATGGATACGAGTACCGGTAGTTGGTGAAAGAGGGCAAGGGGTAAGGGAAATGTTTGTCTCTGCTGCAGGGTGCTTGTGCGGGATTGTGCGGGAAGGTCCGGGGTTGGTTGGCCGTAGCGAGTTGACTCGGTGTGGTGGTGCAGCACTGGTGGTGTATAGTACAGTATCATGCTCGAGAATGCAAGGTATCATATTATCATAGAGTATCATACTCGTAAGAATACAGTGAAGTCAGCCCTAAGGGGGTAGTGCATGAGAGCGAGCGGGTAGGGTGAGGTGAGGTGTAGAGAGTTACGCTTAGTTCGACGAGGAGGATAGGAGTTTATAATTCGGTAGGTATTATAAATAGTTGCATCTATCGCACCTGAATGGGAAGTGTATCGTGCTAGATCTGTGCTCTGGGGGCACCGTAATGGCATATATTGTTCGGATTCTGGCGGTTCGGGGCCGCCGAGGTTGTTGGCTGTGGTAGATTGCCGGGCAGGGAGGGCGCAGTGAATGATGTGAACTGTCTTTGGGGAATGGTGGAGGTTAGTGTGTACCGGTTACAGCGCTGTATGCCCAATAGGCGGATTGGTGCAGCGCAGCGGTGTACTCGAGTAGCTGTCAGCTCTGTCCGCCGCTGCGCTGTTACCACCGGTACTGTACAGTACCAGGGTGGGTAGAAGCTATATCGGGTGGGGAGGAGAGAGAGCGTAGTAATTGAAACCCACTCGTAGAGGGACGTCTGCTGGGTCGCAAACTAAAGGTGGATAAACTCGGTCCTTTTTCGGCACGCTACAAGGCGGCACTGCCCCGGGTTTGCGGCTTTGTTTTTGCGAGGGGGATATTGTAAAATCGCGTTGTACTATTTTCATTATAACAACTTGCGGGCCTCCTAATTTATTCTTATTTTGGCCAGAACGGTCGACAGGTTATCCGCTGCCCGGATATGGCTTGTTTTCAGTTCTTTGGTGGGAGAAACGGTTTTCGAGGAGGGCAGTATCTTTTGTATTGTGGCGTACGGGACAGGTCTTCGATGTCTCAGGTGTAAAAGAAAAAAAACCATTTTACAGACACCATCGCCAAGGGACCATACTGTACTGTACCTTAAAGCTGTGGGCATTATTGAACTCGAGTATGGTGCCCAGGTATGATGCATTATTGGAGAAGAAACGTGGAGGCCATCCTCACCCTTCCTTCCAAATCCAGAGCCCGCAACAAAAACCCCCCCGATGTCTCACTTGATTCGGAAATCTAAGACACGGCTGTCAGTTTGACGTGCGTCCACATCGCTCCGAATTGTTCCTTCCTTTTTTTACTTTGTCTTGCTTTGTTTCCCCCTGCTTGTCCTTGGTCTGTTCTGGTTCTGTTTTTTTTTTTTCATTGTTTGTCGTGGTGTCGGCTTTAAGACACATGTGTGCTCAAGTGCCTGGGCGTGGAGCACGATATTAATTGGTATCGATTTAGATACAGTAGCCAGGCAAACGGAAGGTGGTGAGAGAAAGCAGGCCGACGGGGTGGAAGTGAGTCGAGTTGAGAGACATCAGGCGGTGGCGTTGGTGGGGGGGGTATCTATAGATGGATTCCTGTAGATAGGGTTTTCGTGTGGCTTGATTAGCTAGACGGGTAATTCGCCTATGAAACCGGTAGACAAAAGAATTGAATAGGCATAATAAGCATAATAATATTATCATAGCTCCTGTGGATAAGCAAGTGGTCTCAGCACACTCACTCACTCGCGAATTAATTAACTTAAGCGAGTCCTACGTCCTTGCTCCTTCGAAGCCTCCTCCAGTACTCTGCAGCACCACCATCGCCCGCACAGCCACAAGTGCAACATACCGGTCCCGGTATGATACAAGTATAGTACTGTACCACACGCATCCTGTTTGTTTACGGCTTCCAAAATTTACCCCTTCCTTTTCCTACCTTCCTTCCCCCCTTCCTTTCCCCTTCTTCACCATGCCATGCTGCCAGAAGCGAAAAGAGGGGAAAAAAGAAAAAACGGAGAAAAAGAAATTCAATCACACTACAACCAACCACGCACAACGGGTAAATCCTTTAGCTGTGTTTCGCACTGGCTTATCTTGCGCGCCTGCACGTGCGCTCCACATGATCTACCAACGTAGCGAGAATGGAGAAAGTGTCAAGGGTACACTCCACAACCGTTCCTGATTGATCTGAGTCCTTAAGTTACGCTAGCTTACGGCCGACTCAGGTGCTCGGTACTTGCACTTGCCCTTGTGTGAGAGAGAAGTGAGACATGACTTTTGTTACCAGGGCATACGATACGGGCTATATCGTGTTAATATAGTTCTGGGTTGTGTTCGGGATGCACGGGTTTTGGTCTTCATATGATGGGTTTGATTTGTTTGGGCTAACTCATGGGGGAATTGGGGCTGTTGGTTTGTTGCTCAGCTAACCGTAGCGTGGTGAGTGGATGAGATGGATGACTGTCGGAGGGTCGGGGTCCTCGTGCTTGCACTGTGGTGCATTGTGGCGCGGGGAGACTGCCGTGTGGATGTTTCTTTCTTGGCTTATCTTCTCTTGCCACAGCACTCGCACAGTACGCATGGGGGACCCCCCGAGAGGGGGGGAAGGAGAATGCCTAGGAACCCGCGTTTTCCGCGACATGATGTCCGGTGTGATGGTAGACTTGGGACGGAATTTTTCAACAACTCCAACATCTGACTTTCGCGTGGGCCTGAAGTATAGTTGTTCAACTATAGTTCTCTCTTTTGCTTGTACAATTGGAATTGATACAGCCTTGCGTGTTTTTCTAGGACAGCTTTTCGCCCTAAGGGGAGTCCTTCACCGACTGTGCAATTCTCCGTACTACGATATAATTTACCTGGTTCTTTGTTCGAAGCTGATTGCGTGTGTCAAGAGCGCAATGGTAGTGATGGTCTATATTCTTCTTTTAACATCTTCATGAGTCCCCTACGGGAAGCAGGCAGCGGTGCGCGACTAGCACACCCGAAAGTAGTTATAGTCGGTCGATCCAGATTTGTATATCCACCTGCTCGCTGCTCGCCGCGGGACCAAGTCGAGGGACCGGTGAGCCAACCACTTTGCCGGGCAATGTTCAACTATCGCGAGAACCACAACCACAATGCAGCGCAGAAATCTGTGGTTTTATGGCCCCCCCTTGGTTTGGGAGAAACAAGTCTGGTGATAGGACCTTTCATCTCTGACATAGTCCAGAGTGGGTGGGATTGAGCGGTTGAGATTTCGGCGATGTTGTGGTTGCGTCTCACCGTCTCATGATACCTAATCTCACTTCTTACTGGCTGAAGGTACCATAATTATTATGATGGTACTGTACAGTACCGGCAGCTCATATGATGCCAGATGACACAAATATTCTTGCTGTACTGTACAGTGCTCCACGCTCTCTTCCTCAAAACTCCGCTCCGCTGGTTACCTTTGTTTCCTCTCGGCTTTCCGAGGATGTAGGGGTGTGATTATTTTTTTTTTACTAAGAATCGACCCTCGCTTTGTTCACGGCTTGGCGGCTCCGTTTTGGGTTGTGTTCCCGTTCCCGCTATCACTCCTGTCGGATCCGGACCTTAAACTTAATTTCATGCATTGACCAGGGGGCGTTCTTTTTTCTTCTTCTTTTCTTTCCTCCTTGCCTTATGGTGGCGCTTTGTTGTCTTTCTTGCTTTCTAATACCGGTACGGCAATCGAGAAGTTTGTTTGCAGGATTAACCTTATTGGAAAATGTCTTTGCTCTGCTCTTTTTGCTTCCTGATATGGTAATCAACTGCCATCTACTTGGGTATTGGGAGGAGACATGTTTGTGACACTCATTCGAGCAATGCGCGGCTCGGCGGACTTAGTCTCTCGTCGCGTTAGGGGCCCACCTGGCAGCTGGAGGGAGGAGTTTGGTGGTAGAGAGAGGGGGAGATAGGGTGGGGGTCGGACCCCATAGTGCAGAACTTGAGTTGTGGTACTATAATGTATTCTTCTGCTGCGAAAGTATGGTACGGTACTTGTGCTCGAACACAGCACCTCGCTATCTTTTACCCTTGCTACTCTAGCATCATATTCATTCCGCGATTTGGGGAATAGTGGCGAAGTCCATTATCAGACCTGCAAATTAACATTACCTCCTTGGAAAAAAATACTCCCAGGGCCGGCTAGCTTACTCCAGAAAGGTTGACTGGGTGTAACAGTCTTTCCTCGACGGCGGGTGTGTGGTGCCGTTTTCCTTTTTTATAGATCTGTCTGCATGGTTGAATCACGGTGTCTAGTTGCTCCCGTAACTTAATTTAAGTGTTCTGTCGTACAAGAAACTCGTTTAGTCCTGTTTTTCAAATTTAGGTAGGCTTGGCCAGACCCTTGGTTTTGTCCATTGACCTTTCTGTTTCACTTCTCCTCTCTTGGGTTCTCGCCCTCTCACTCGACAACTATAGAGAGTGATCCAATTGATACCCCGAGCACCCTTGCTACGTTCAATGTATCCATTGAACATACCCATCGGGTGCCGGAAAGCCGCATTGTGTCAGCATACAATTCATATCTGCAAGACTGTTGGGTGTCTGAAGGTACTACGAGGTCAGTGGTTGGTGGGGGCTATCGGGCGGCGAGCTAGCTCGATCGCTCGCTTTCGGGAAGAAAAAAAAAAAAGCTCCGACGATTCCGGTATGCGGGTGGTTACCACGTAATAAGTAGGAATCAATGAAGGGCGTATGTGTTGATGTGATAATGTGTGTGTGAGTGCTCTAGATGGTGGGTGGGAAGATATGGGTTGGAAATGGGGGTTGCGGATTTTCAGTGTCCCTCACGTGTGGCAGAGAATGCTGCGGCTGTCTTCCTCAACAGGACTGAGGACGCCTCAAGAATCCTTTGAGTAGGCCGGGGTGCAAGTGCGATCACGGCATGTCCCATCTGCTGAGTGATGATAGAGGAAGAGAGAAAGAGGCCGAGAAGTAAACACACGCACACACCCGGCCAGATTTACATTTGCGTGCGCTTGTATACCGCGATAAGGTGTCGCCATGTGTGATGAGAGTGAGTGAGCGGGCATGGCGATAGATGGACTACGATAAGTTATGTCGGTATCATGAAAGTTCGAGTCTCCAACCTCTCTGACACTCCAGGTTAGGATGTTCCAGACACCTAAAGTTCCACAAGAAGAGTAAAGAGATGTAAGAAATAGTTAGAAGGGAGAAAAGGGAAAACCAGCCAGCGAGTCAGCCAATTCAGCCCGGTTTAAACAACCTGCGAGAGAACAGCGAGACATAGACAGGCACGCAATTAAGCAAACACCCGCCCTGCTCACTCGCCCAAATAACCTCCAAGAGATATGCAGTACGCCGCGGCGCGAATACACAAGAAGTAGCTAACCCCCCCCACCTCCCTACCACAAATCACAAACTATTTCCTCCCATATTATTCCTCTTGATTTCCCTTTCTTTTTTTCCTTCCTTTGCCTGTCTTCCCCCTCCCTCATCATCCGAATACCGACACCCTCTCGCTCCGGAGTCGAGATAGCCCAGCAAGAGTAGTCCATCGAGGATTGCTAGTCGTCGTCCCCCGTAGACGAGCCATACAATCCTCTGTTTACCTCTACTGTTCCTAAGGAGAGGAATTGGATTACAGTGGGTGATCGGGGTAATAATCTTAATAAGAGAGACTAAAATCACCAGTTTCCTCTTGGCCGCGAAAAAATCATCTCTTGACGGCCCCCCGCAGAGGCTCCGACTACCCTCGCCGCGGTTTGCCCCCCCTACCGTTTTCCTCAAGGACTAAACCCGGGCATCTCTCTTCGCCATTGACGAAGCAAACTTATACACCAAACAAATCCACATCGGACCCTTTGTTTTGCGGCTCCCTAGGATAGGCCCTCGTCCACTCGTTAACGGCCGCACAATAATTTCGCGCTCCCCCTTCGGTTAAATTCTTGGGAAAAATCCTTCACTCGCTATCACCCATACTCCCTCCTCGTCCCCAATCCGGTGTGATATTTTTTTACCACAATTTTAGCTTGTTGAAGGGAACAATAGTAGGCCGAAACAACCAACCACCCAACGCAAGCTCTGGTCGGTTGTCTTGTACGACCCCTTGTTCTTTGTAATGGGGATCAGGCACTACTTTCGCGCAAAGCCATCCAACGGCAAGGCTCCCGCGCGAGATCCAGCTGCAGCTTCCCAGGCTGATCATGCCGCTGAACTCAGGCCGCCATTGTTCCCGGCTTCGGGCTCCGAAACCGCTTCTGGCGAAGCATCTTCCAGATCCTCAGCTATTATGGTTGATGACATAAAGCATGAGGTTATGGTTAGCTATTTGTACCAGCAACAGTCAAGCCAGCTCTGGGTCAACCCTAACCCTCCACCTGGTCGATCAAACGAGAATGAGGGCGTTTTGCTGAGGAAGAGTAAAGGGCAATATATGGCTTGCCCGGCCTCATTGTCAAATAGTCTTTTTGCCGAGGCTTGCTCAGTGTTGAATGTCCACGTATGTTTCTGGATGCTCCCGGAATTCCCGCAAGTTTCTTTGCTGTTGCTAATGTTTCGGCAACATTGAAATCTAATAGGTTGCTATGACTGTTAGTTCCAGGGTCATCAAAACATTTCTCCAATGGTCTCCTGAGGCGGTAGACGTCCCCCTCATGAACGGTCTACGTATTCAGATCGTCCCGACAATTGCGGATCTTCCGAGAGCGAGGAAGCTCCAGTTCGCTGCATTCGTAGCTAGAGAGGCCATACTCGTGGTCTGGGATGACGATCCGCTCAACATTGTTGCCCGTGCAAAGTCCATTGAGAATGAGTTGATGGCACTGGTGTGGAAGACGCCAGAAGTCGAGGAGGAAGAGTTGGCGAAGACAGAGTTGGCCGCTAATGTGGTGGAGGTTATCGATGAGGAATCTGGAAAAGTCTCTGGATATTGGGAGAGGCGCCCGACAAATTTGCTGAATACCATCTTGGTCGCGTTCACCCTAGCGCTCATCATAACTACTCTAGGAGCTGGGTATAGGCAGATTGGAATTGAGGTTGCGGTCGATGGGAATATGTTGAGACTTGCTTTCGTCGCCCTGACACCGATTCAGATATTCTTCACCCTGGTAGGTCTGTCCCTGCTGAGGAAATAAAAGCATTTCTAACCTAGTCTTTCCCGCATAGTTCTTCGGTCAGGTCATCATAGGGTGTACCGCTCAGTGTATAGGCCCGGTATCTCAGTTGACCTATAACTCCAAGTACTATTCTGCGAGGCCCCCCCCACGTCTACGCTCTGGGCCACTCCCCCACATTACTATCCAGTGCCCTGTGTATAAGGAGGGTCTTTCCGGGGTTATCGCTCCAACAATAAAGTCCATCAAACAGGCCATCAGTACGTACGAGCTCCAGGGTGGCACCGCCAATATCTTGATCAACGACGATGGGCTGCAGCTTTACAAAGATGAAGATCAGCACCTTCGGAAGGAGAGGATCGACTTCTATGCGGACCATAACATTGGTTGGGTTGCCAGGCCCCCACACGGGAAAGGTGGTTTCCAGAGAAAGGGTAAATTCAAGAAGGTGAGCGGAACCAAGTTCTAGTATGTTTGCTCAATTCACTCTGCATTTGTTTGGATGGAGGAAGAAAGGAGAAGTCTGGCCAGAGATGTGGTAGATTTCGCCCTCTGCCCATCTTTTTTAACTTGCTCTTTGTTTTTTTCTTGTCTTTGGCGACCCATGTTCAACTTTACATGGCCCTACCGGATATTTTCCTTGATTGTCTCAGTAGCCACGCGGGGGTTTTCCTTGCTCTTGCTCAGTCAATCTCGCTAGCTTGCGTTTCTTGGCAATTGTCGTAAAATATGACTAATCATTGAATAGGCATCCAACATGAACTTCGCCCTCATGATATCTTGTAAAGTCGAGGATAAACTCGCATTAATTGAACGGAATGAAAGTTGGACTCAAGCCAAAGAAGCTCAAGCTTATGAGAATTGCTTGAAGGAAGTTTTGGACGAAGATGGACGCGCTTGGGCGGATGGTAACATCCGTGTTGGAGACTACATCTTGCTCGGTACGTAATTAAGTTACAAATGATTGTCAATGTGGTTTGGAGAGGTCGCGATGGCTAACGAATTGCTGTAGTCGATTCTGATACCCGGGTACCTCCTGATTGTCTACTTGATGCTGCTTCTGAGATGGAGCAATCTCCCGAGGTCGGAATCATGCAATACTCCTCAGGCGTCATGCAAGTTGTACACAACTATTTCGAAAACGGAATCACTTTCTTCACCAATCTGATTTACACTGCTATTCGCTATACTGTTGCCAACGGCGATGTGGCTCCTTTTGTGGGACATAATGCTATTCTTCGATGGTCTGCTATTCAACAGGTTTCCTACAAAGATGAGGATGGGTATGAGAAATTTTGGTCTGAATCACACGTGTCCGAGGATTTCGATATGTCTCTGCGATTGCAAGTCAACGGATACACTATCAGACTTGCTGCTTACACTGGTGAAGGGTTCAAAGAGGGTGTCTCTCTTACTGTGTATGATGAACTGGCGCGTTGGGAAAAGTATGCCTATGGATGCAATGAACTTTTGTTTCATCCCTTGCGATTCTGGCCTATCCGTGGACCCTTCACTCCTTTGTTTCGCAAATTCTTGTTCTCGAACATCCGTATGACGTCCAAAATTACCATCATCTCTTACATTGGAACATACTACGCTATTGGCGCCGCATGGATCATGACGACCGCCAATTACTTTGCGATTGGCTGGTATAATGGATATCTCGACAAGTATTACATCGACTCCTGGAAGGTGTGGTTTTCGATTGTCATTGTGTTCAATCTTTTCGGAAACGTGGCGCTGGCAGTTATGAGGTATCGTGTTGGCGAAAAACCCTTCTTCTCATCTTGTAAGTACCTCTGCTGCTAACCGGCAAGAGTGATATCTAACATACTTTGGTAATTAGTGCTCGAAAACTTTAAGTGGGTCTTCCTCCTTGGCATATTCCTTGGCGGTCTCTCCCTACACGTTTCCCAGGCACTCCTTTCCCACATGTTTGAAATCAACATGGTCTGGGGAGCGACTGCCAAGGAAATCGAGTTCTCCAACTTCTTTATCGAAGTTCCCAAAGTTATGAAGCGTTTCAAATTTTCGTTCGCCTTCTCGATTTTAGCAATTGTGGCAATGATCGTGCTCGCCACTGCTTCCTTCGTTCCCCATAGTTGGGTCATCAAGGATTTTGTCGCCATCTTGCCTATGGCAACTGTGGCGGGCAGTCATCTGCTGCTGCCCATCGCATTGAACCCTGCATTGATGACATTCCAGTGGTAGTTAATACTCCCACCAATGCTTCGGGGCTTTCGGCGACCTCTTTTCATTTTTTCATTTTCATGAAGGATGCTTGGCCGATATCGCAACAGGGGGGTATCTAATGTACGACAACGATTTCCTTTTCACATCTTACTAAATACTAGAGCAAAATAGCTGCAGGATCGAGGGTGATCTTGCAGTCGATATTCCCTCCTCTATTCCATGGCTACTCTGCTATCCTCATCAAACACGGGGTATTTTCTTTCTACTTTTACGTTTGCTTTCTTCATTTTATGGGCATTTCCTCTTAGCATGTCTCTCTATATCATCCGATCGGGGCTCCTTTAGCTTTCTTCTTTCCTCAGTTTAATTTAGAGAATTTCTTTTTTTATTCAAGTGTGCAGTTACGGAACAGGCGCAAAATCTTTTGATTTCTCTTTATTTTCAACCCACCCTTTTTCGAAAACATTGTAGACGAAAATATCCCTTTCCCTCCTTCTGCATTATCTCTTCAGGATACTGTCAATCACCTAATGGAATGGAGTTGATGTAGATTGCCGGGATGCATTTTTTACTTAAAAAAAGCCGTAAAAAATCTTGGGAAATGAAACCACTCACGAACATAAACTAGTGCTTTATAATAGACTTTTACCTATAATAGCTCCTGATTCCTCTTTACTTTTCTGAATAATTGAGGGGTAGTCGGGGGTGAATAAACTATTCAGGGTTATTATTAACTTGAACAATGACTCTTTCTACGGTATCTATGCATCTCCCCACGCTCCTGTTCGCAAAGCCCTCGCTAATGGAACACCAATGCGAGAACCATACCGGAACCATCGTGAGCCAGGTATGAGTGCTCGGGTTTCCGGAGTGACAGAAGTTGCGTTATTTTGTGGTATGATAATGCACAAACCCCCCCCCCCCCGACTTCAATCCGGCGACACGAGCGGGCTGGGGGACGTGAAGGGAAGTCATACTAGACGGCAAATATACAGGTTTGATTTATTGTCATTGTAAAGTACTAGTGTTCGAGCACTGCACCGTAAGAGTACTTCGGGGAATGATTGGGAAAAAGTGTGAAGTCTTTGCCGCTCTACACATATGATCCAGTATAGTATCGTAGATATTCTACTAGCCACATTCGCCACACTATTTATTACCCCCAAGGTGCTGTAAAGCTGCACTTGGCTATTCTAGAAAGCGAGAATACAAGGGGTCCATCTGGCTGCTGGTGAGACCGGCAGTAACTTTTGGGGCAGCGAGTGTGTCGGTATAACACATTGGTTGTTGCCAGGGCCCTGCCGCAGTACAGTACTATACTGTGCCGTTCCATCAGAGAGGACTTTGGCCCATGTGTTCCGATCTGCGTGGTATGCAATAGCAGTCCCCCCCCCCCTTTTTTTTTAAAAAAACGGCTTCAACATCGCAAGAACTGGTGGTTCACGCATCGGAGTGCCAGAAACGGGTCGTGAATTTGTATGGGAGCTCGGATACGCAACGGACTTTTTTGCCATATCTTTGGTTTAACCCCCGAGCGCAGTATTATACAGCCGCATTCGTAAAAAGTTCTCATTCCCTCCCCATTGTAGTGCCGCTACCTCGAGGAGAATTGTACCGAATAACAAGGGAATAGGAAGAGCCCTCGAGATTACCGTTTTCAGATATGGCTCTAGGGTTATTGTAAAGCCGTTATGTATCACGATTTTTTTTTGTCGAATTATTGGGGAGGGGGTGGTTAGAAAGGCGTTTGCAAGGGCTGGGGGGGGGGTTCTGTACTCTGAAGGGTACTTTACGAATACGGCTGTACTATACTGTACTGTACAGTACTTATAGTTCATTATTTATTTATGTAGTTCTGGCATAAGATTGGTGGGTGTTTGGATGGGTTTCTGTATCTACTATCTGCGTTTCTTTGATATAATGGATAAGGATCCAAAGGTCCCTTCCATAGAGTAAGGCGCGTTTCTGCTATCGCGGCTATAAACTGGAGAGTTCCCTGCTCCGGTGGTTGGTGTTCGAAACTGTATCGTATCGTACCCGGAAACTGGAGGTCTTTTGGAGATAGCAGCAACTGGGGGTAGATGCTTGGTATGACAATAGAAAAAAATGGAAGATGTGGATGTGAGTAAAAGGGAATCGGAAATGTTTTCAAATGAGATAAAGGTCAGGTCAATAAAGCGCATGTATAGTATGGTAAGGCATGGAGCGCAGTACTGTACTGTTCCGGGACGTTTACGTGTCGGAAGTTTGTGCTGTGGATCATGTATGCATGCACCCGGGGTCGGTGCCGTGCTCGGATCTCAAATGTTTAGGTTATTGTACCTCGAGTTGGCCACATGGGTATTGCATGGCATAGGATCGGGCCCGGTCACTTCAGCAGCTGCGCGGCTTGTTGGCGGCAGGTTTGTCCGCTTGCTTAATGGTTGCGGGAAAACTGATAACTGCTCGTCACTATAGATGTGGTGTATTGAGTCTGCAATTGGAGCTGAGTATCATACGTTGCATTGCGCTATGCCTCGGTTTTTTAGGGTCAAGGATGAGGGAGGAAAGGTATCTCAGATGATTTGGGGTTCAATTCAGTAGTCTCTCGCCTATTTTATGCTTCTTAAGTTTAACGAGGAATAATCACGCATAGTGATATATCCTATCGCAGCGATTCTCTTTACCTCTTTCGTGAACAAAAATCATGTATCGTAAAACTGATGCTATATATATCATACCGGTGGCTTAAATTTGAGAGGAGAGGAAAAGTACCCCAACAATGACGCAAATCAAACTCGGGAGCTTGGAAAGCGATTCTTTTCCCATGATATGATGCTGTACAGTACATATAACACTTTGCCTCTACAAATAAAGTCATTACACAATGCTGCGGACCTGGTACAGTACACGTTGTGCTAGCTTTGTATGATACCATAGATAGAGCTATCATACCGTATCATATGCCGTGTTGCCTGGTTCGGCGGTAGGTCAGGAAAAACTATAGTACCCTGCTCGCACCGGAGTGTGAGGCGGTTGCTGACATATCCCGGGAAGGGAGGAGGACCGAGAAGAGTATACCTCACAGCACAGCGCTGTGTGCTCTGCCTCCGGATCTTATGCTATGATACCCCGGATTGATCGGTTATCACGTCGGTGTGGGCTTCTGCTTGGATATACCCCTCACAGCCCCCCCCCATTTATTGCCCCTATCAGCTTCTGTCTAGCGTAGGGCTCGTTGGAGATCCCCCTGATGTTGATAGCTTCATCCCGGTTTATCGCTGGAGCGGAGAGGATTTGTGACCAGATTCCAGGAATCCATATCATGATTCCTCATGATTGCCTCACCATTCCTTGATCAACCGGGTCAAATTTGGGCTGGGTCGGCTAACCCTCGTTACCCATTAAAGCCGAAACATCTATCGTAAATAGTGATAAGGGAAAAATAAGAAGCCCTGTTTGTGTACAGTATGGATGGCTATCACTTCATAATAACGTTATGATAGATTCAGTGGAGGCCACAGGCTATTGTGGCCCGAGTTACAGCCCTAACCCCAGATCCGAATTGATGTCTTCCACGGTTACAGTATTATGATATGATACCTCTAAGCCTTCCGCATGCCCCTGTTGGCACAACCACCCCTGAGCAGGACCCTTGCTGTGATATGATGCCCAGATTAAATAAGCCACCTGGGATACTGTACTGTACATACCAAATTGACAGCAAGGCATTGGGTTCGACTTCAGGGTAACTTAATTCGCCACCTCACCATACAACAAGAGGTGATACTTGGCTCCAACCCAGGCAAAGCAAGGAATTATCGGGGACCGTTCTTCATGAACCTGCGGATTCTGGCTCCTGTTTTGAGTTTACTTGTTACCACGGCAGATACTGCTGTATTACGGAATTACTCTACCGAGTCCCTATTTCTGTGGCTGGGCATTCGTGGCTCTCGCTTGCGCTCTGGGTAAACCCGCGAAATCCAGTGATGAGTTAAACCTCACCACTGCCCCTAATATTTCTAGAACTCCGAATTTGGTCTGGCATAAGATCCGAATCATAATTTGGGTTTGGTTTCTCTAGAAAAACACTTGAATCAAAGACAAAGATTGGTCGGATGGGGAAGACCTCAACCCCAGTCCCGACCGCGTGAATTCGGACTCGGTTGAAGGATTGCTGTCAAGCTTTCGCGAAATCCCCCACCCGGTAATTCGGGATATTACTGGTGCTGGAGAATTGCTTGACTGCGGTTTGAGATAAAGAAGCGGATCGTGTCCATGTGGGCTTGCGATTAGGTCAGTGATAGCATCTAGGTGTTACAAAGCTCAATGTTCCTATTCTCCCGCCATATTGTACAGTACTTGGGACCCCGGGGATCCATTTCCCCGGATTATGGAGCAGGCGATTACATTTAATTATTTGTTTTTTTGTAGATAGGTAGGAACACCGATTGATTCGCTTGCAAAACTGTGGTGGGGAAGTGAGGAAAGGAGCATTACCGGATAGAGTGGGTCGTGGTCAGGGTCTCAGTTTGCTGGGTTGCCGATTGTGCTAGGTATGCTTTTATATATCTCTGGATTGGTTTGACGTGATTACACCTTCGGTTACCTCATGAACTTGTTAGCAACGTTGTCCCTTTGTAGGGGTCTGGCGGGCTACGTGGACTGAACAGCTGATTGCGGAAGTGGCATAAATGCAGCGAGAGGTACTTCGAGATTGAACAAAAATCTGGCTTAGCCTTTTCTACATTGTGGATGGGAGCGTCAGCGTCCTGAAAACTTACTTTCCCCTGTTTACGTCATAGTCGCTCACTCGATTAATTGAACAGTTGTAGGTTTTGACCTCCCTACAAGAGACTACTTTTTTATAGATCATAGAATTGAGTGTGCTGTACCGTCAACCCTAGAGAGGTAGCATCCTTCAAAGGGTTTGTCCTCAGAAAGAACACAGCTTCCACTATCAATGGGGCTCTTGTCGCTTTCCCCTCCCCGCTAGTCACGCATTTGCACCACCTAGGTCTATTTATCTCCTCCACTTC